ATTTATAAAGTTCTTTTGTTTCGATATAATAATATTGTATTTTCATAAATCGTAATGTCTATTTTCCCTTCTTCTTATTGATTGGTATATCATATAAAATATTTAATGATTAATATAAAAAGGAACCCATTTTTCCGATCAATTATTTGACCTCTACAAAATTATTATAAATAATGTAATAAGTATGTCTATAATAATAATTTAAGTAGGTATCTCTTAGTGTGTTTTTGATATACCTACCTGCCTTTTTTCGTGACCACGCGATATCATATACCAGCGTTAGAAACAACTGAGTTAAGTTTTATAAAACTATTTTATATTTTAAAAATAGGTTGATTCTCGTATCAAATTAATTTTTTGAAAACATTACGATTTATATACATAGATATAAACACATTCAATGATTACTTTGTTTCCAAGGGAAGTTCTACTTTTTACTTGTTTCTGAAAGAATATAGTTCAATTAAGGTAATTATCGAAAATCCAATAGTAATTTTTAATAACATAAAATTTATTCTAGTAAAATTCAGAATTTCCATTTGACTCCCAATGGTATTAAATTGGATGAAACTTGTATTATTTAACATAACCTTGGATTCATCTGCAATACCGTCCAAACGCTTCCCGAGTGCATCTTAAGGCCACATGGAAATAGTCAAATAGCTGTGTTCGATTTTTTTTTTAGATGATTTTTAACATAAATATTTGTTTTGACATGGTTACCTAAAAATTTTTTTCTAACCGATTTTGCGTAACGCCTAGTGTATCACTATAGAAATATAAAATACAATATAACTGTCACGGTCAATGCTATGTTCAACTGCCATGTAAAATACCTAAACACGATAAATACTGGGAGATGGTATTTTGCGCCACTTTTATTACTTGTAATTTGCGCCACGAATAGGTACATTTAAGTACGTATGTAATTTGCGCCAAAATATAAAAATATAATATGTATTTTGCGCCACACTTTCAACTTTAATAGCAGTTGGAATTTACCAGCAGATAAATTTAGCGATATCGCATAGGATATACAATAATACGTTCTGATGCGTCCGACGCGTGTCACATATCGTCTCAATATCGTCGAATTATTTATAATACTAGGTTTCATAATTTTCTCATCATCGATCATGAGTATAATTAATGTAAATTATACTATAAATGATGAGTTGATTTAAAAATAATTAATACAATAATTATATCTAAATAGATTTTGCATTTTTTTTAATTATTATAAAAATCAATCTATAATTCTTAATTTCCTAATAAAACATAGAAATATTAAATATGTCTCTACTRCACTGTACCCAAAAATATATCTACATCATAAATACAGATGAAAAATATGTAATACTCTAAATTAAAAAAAAAAACTTTTGTATATTTTAGCTTAATAATATGTACTTACTTACGTAGTTTTAAAAAGATTCACATATGAAAACTATCTAAATAGTTCTTTTTTTTTACATATTTTTTATTATTTTTGATAGAATTTAAATCTTGTAGTTTCAATAAATAACTTTATTTAGCCACTCTACTAGTTTTTAAAACAGTAATAAATTGTTTGAAAGTAATATTAAATAATCTGAATTCTCAGTTATTGTAAATATTAACATCAGTTAAAGCATAGGTAACAACAAAATGTATAAACACTAACCTTTTTGAATCTAAAAAAAGATTCTAAAATTTTAAATCCATGTGAAATAAAATTACATCATATTATACCTATACTATATTATTAATTCGCGATCGCTGATATATATATAAATACATTAATATTTACATTTCAAACAGCATAATACATTATATATTTATATTATATTATAATATTATTTAATATACTGTTAATAAATTAATTTCTATTTAAAAAGTTTTAATAATTTAATAGTGAACAAATCGCTGATCCCAAAATGGTGGTGTCCCCAAATAACTGACATCCAGAGCAGTAGTTATGGCCAGTACCCTCCCCTTAAATGTGGCCATGCATGTTCAATGAATATTGTTTCTGGTAAACAAATTTAAACTATTATGTGACTGTTTTTTTAAAAATAAGTTCTTAACGTATATAACAAATCAGAACGCAAAATTGTTATGTAATTTATGCTGTATAAATGTAAAATAGATTTATTTGTAGGTATTAAAGTCTGTCAATATATTATATAACTAATTAAGATAAAAACATCGAATAGGTAAGCTATTTGTACTAAAAGAATATCAAGCGTATTCAAAATACGAGGCCATAACATTAATGTATCATATTATTATCATTTCTATAAAATTCTAATTAAAATGAACTGATTAAACATTTTAATATTCATTGTTCTAGTATAGTAATATACATTGAATTTATAAACAAATGTATACAAAGAATTTACTATTCGCACACTCAAAAGTCAAAATCATATAAATATTTGATATGATTATTTGAAGTATTTACTGGTTAGTTCAAGGTCTCAGATAGTTAGATTTTTACAATTACTATTATGATAACCAAAAAATGTATTGAAGCATCAAATAAAAATATTTATTTCGGTTAAAATAACGTTTTATATGCCATCTCGATGAGATTAATATAATTTTAATTTTTTATGCCATTGACATAATGTACCTACATTAAACTTATTTAAATTTCTTCATATCGCGTGATGTTATACTATATCCTACCTGTATATTTTTACTCAAAAATGAAAATATACGCTGTAGTGTATTCAAATACTCAAATTAAACACAAAATCGTACATCTACTAGTATATATGTAATAAAATAAATTACATGGAGCAGCACATTATGGTAAAAAAAATAAGGTATATCCTAAACCATATATAGGTCATAGGTGAAATATTATACATAGTATTATCTATTATTTTTATAGCATAGAACTCATACTATACTTTTATACATACCTATATGCACTATGTTTTACATAAAACATAAATGCATATTAATATATATATATATATATATATATATATATGTGTAGTAAATATACGATTTTTTAGGGATGAAAAGGACAAAAAATAACAACAAAACCGATTTACGAAAAAAAGATCACGTTTATTGTTGAAAGTTATACTTTAAAAAATCTATGCGTGTTGTTGGAATGTTGAGAATCATGGGTGAGTGGGTTTTCAGTAGTGGTAGGCGACCGGGTATGCGGCTTTGTAGGCTGCTGGGAAATACGATTTCTCGTATTTTCCTGGGTAGTATTTGCCATCGTCATAAGCAGCGTAGCTGGGGTAGGCGGCATAGCTCGGGTAAGCTGCGTAGCTCGAGTAAGCGGCGTATGGGGTGGCGGCGTAGGTAGCCGGTGCGACGTAAGCAGCAGGAGCGGCGTAAGCAGCAGGAGCGGCGTAAGCAGCTGGTGCTGCGTAGGCAGCTGGACTGGAGTATTTGTAAGCGTAGCTGGCTGGGTATGCAGAGTATGCTGAATATGGGTATGCTGGGGCTGCTGCAGAGTAAGCCAAAACCGCTGTAAAAAAAAATTGATTAAAATTTGTTTCATCAAATCAAATTCACACAAAATTTATAAAAAAAAAAAAAAAAATGAAGAACAAAGTCCTAAAGTTATCGTTGTGTTTTATATTATATACTTATATAGTTAAATATTATATAATTATAATTAATAAGACTTAGACTTACGAGCTGGGGCTGCGGCAATATAGGCGTGTTTCTTTACTCTTGCTGCATCCTCGGCGGGTTTGTTTTCTTCGGCGGACACGGCGTACACGGCCAAGGCGATGAATATCTGTTTATAAAAAGAACAAATGTGAAGATTTTATTGATTGTTATTTGTTAAATACATGTCAACAATTCATATTTTATAGTTGTCATAAAAAATAAGATGCATCTTAACCACGACGTACGATWAGTCCATAGAAATCGTTTTAGGTTAGGTTAGGTTAGATTAGGTTAACTAAACCTTTAGGTTAACTAAAAATAAATTAAGTATTACTAAAAATCAGTAACTTCAGTGATCTACGATGCAAATATTTTTTTTTCATTATTATGCCATTTAATTCGATAGCTGCAAATATGTATTTAGTTTGAAAGATTCTACCCTTAATTTTCTTGTTATTTCTATAAGTTTATATTATGATCCTAAACTTTAAAGTATATGATAGGCTTAGTTTGAATTCCAATAAACCTTTCCCGCTATAACTCGTCTGTCAAATCAACAATATCATAAATATAATAATCGTTTCAATGTTTTTGGATGAATGTTGAATTGAAGATATTATAGGATTTTATATGGGTCCTAAAAACTTTCATGACTGATACAATTAATATGTGCACGGAATTTGGCTGCTGGGCCAAAATACGAGTTCTATTCATTGTGGGATACGTATTATATGACTATATAGTTTCTCAAAAGTAAAATATTAACTAGTCTTTCTAATTTAAATAATTTAAATCGTTTAGACACAATAGTGAAATTTTATATTAAAATATATAATACCGATTAGAAAAATACTATGTGTCTAGGTTTACGAAAGAACGAAAATCTCCTAGTCACGTTACGATGAGCCATAAAGAGTGTAAGACTCACCAGATTCTTGAAAGAAGCCATTTCTTGTTTTTTGATTTCTTCTTGTGATGTCTACGACGAATCTGCAAACTTCAACCTGTGGTCGATGTGTGTACTTGGGATGTGAAGAGATATGTGATGCCAATGCTTGGTGTCGCTGGTCCTTATATATGCGATCCGGTTGATGGGTCTCCCGTGATATGAAGGTATGTGGTTCCACCGGCCCCTACCTGACCAGAAGGGCGTTTCCCGTCTCCGAAAGGCCAAAATCCTGAGCACGCCGAAAAATTGCGATGAGATACGCGCTGCCTCATCAAACAACGATCGTTGGCATCTTGGTGGTTGACCTTGAACCGCAGTGGTAATTGACTTTAAACCACATAGTAGCGGTTGACCTTGCACCTTGGCCAGGGGATTTGCACTGTAAAAAATTAATAATATAATAATTGCAACGAAAAAAATACAAGATACATAACTAGGCGTTGCCGGACATGGCATGTCTATAAGGTTTACATTATAGATGTGGAACTACAACAATCCGTGTACGCAAATCTGAACTCAATAGCGACAAGTTATGATTTTGGCTGTGAAGAATTATAAAAGTATAATATGTATTTAGAAATTTATAATGATGTTAAATGGCATGATAAAAGCCACATACAGTGATACTCCTCCGAAGGTGGTGAACACTTAAGACCCTCGACATTTTCATGGATCTTATTTTGTTTTGCAGAGAAAATTGTTGGTATCGC